CCCCCATGACCTTTTTATATACATGTAAACTTTTTACATTATACCGAAAATAGAAAAACCAATAATTCTACGTAATCAATTTTTATAAATCGTTTATTTTTTTTTTAATTTAATCGATAGATAACGGCCTATCAGAGAATCATATACTAGGTAGTTGTGGGTACTGGCGGTATAAGCTGATAAACCATAAAGTTTATTAGTTTTTATCACTGTTATACCACGTTATACTATCTAGTATCTTTAATCTTAATGTTATCGTATAATTACCTCAATATTATAATATTATAACTACAATAACATATATTTTCACGTAAATCCCTATGAATTAAATTTTATTATTTTTTTTAATATATTGTCATTGGAAATAATTTGTAAAATGTCAAGTGCGAACTCGTTTTTATATTAAAATAATTAATATGAGTAATATCAAAAATTATTTTACTGTAAAAGCTAATGCTAAAAGCAGTACAGATGAAAAAAACATCACCTCCGATTAAAATCAGAAAGGACAATAAAGAAATATTTGAATTGTGCTCAACATCTAGTACCCATCAGGATCAGGTTAGTCGTTAGTAAATTGTAATATTGTAGTATTAGTATACAGTCAAATTATTTTATCAATTATAATTATTTTCACTTACCTAACTGCTTATTTAATTGATATGATTTTTTACAATTTAAGGCAAATTATAGCTTACAGAAAACGCTTAATACTAATAATGTAGGTTTATTTATTAATCGTAGTTTGTCGGACATTTAAAAAAATACAGTAAGTATATTATTAGAACATTTTTATAATGATTAACAAAGCAAAAGATTAAAAGTAAATTTTTGTTAGGTATTAACTGACTTAGGGATACCACCAGAAAATTATAAATTTCCACTCTTAGATTTATGGAAAAAAAAGAGTTCTAAATTCCAGTTTAAATGGTTGAAGGCGTATCCATGGCTATCTTATTTAGAAAAATTTGAGGGGGCTTTTTGTAAGCAGTGTGTGGTTTTTGCTTTGCTGGTGGTATTGGATCACAACGCTTCTACAGTCTTGTTTTAACAACATTTCAAAACTGGAAGAAAGCTACAGAAGTATTAATATATAGAAATTATAATTTAGAAAAATGATTACTCATTTAAAAATACATTTTAGGTTTTATCGAATCATAATAGATTGGAATATCACAAAACTTCTTTTTTAAAATCGGAACATTTTTTAAATATTTTTTTAAACAATGTACCATCAGTTATTGATAAATTGGACGATGAAAGGTATAATATGGCAAATTGTCTTTAATTGTCTTACTTGTACTCAATTAGTTTATATTTTAGGATCAAACAGAAGAAGCTAAACAGGTTGAAATTAATTCCAATTATGGAATGTATTATCCTTTGTGGTAGACAAGAGATCGCACTCCGTGGACATAGAGATTTTGGCTCAATAAAGTTTAATAGTTTGTATTTATAGCTTATGTATAACATAATACATTAAATTTTGTATTAATATTTTATGTTTAATTTATATGAGTCTGACGGTAATAATTCTAATTTGAATGAAGGTAATTTTCGAGCTATTCTAAAATATAAAGCTAAAGACATAGATTATTTAAAAAATCATCTAGAATCCTAGTCTCGAAACAAATACATAAGTCCTCAAATACAAAATGAAATTATTACCATACGTGGTGACCTAAAACTAAGTAAACTAGTAAAGATGGTAAATGCATCTCAGTGCTTTTCTGCATTCGCTGATGAGACAACGGATGTGTCAGTTAAGGAACAGCTTACGCTGTGTGTACGTTTTATTAATGGTACTGGAGAAAATGTTGAGTTATGTGAGATTTTTTTTGAAGTATGTTAATGTACATAATTTAACTGGTCAGCATTTGGCTTCAGCTATACTTGAAGGTTTATACTATTTTATGAATATTTTAGGTGTTGACTGTTGAGTATAATTAATAAAATACTTTTTTTTTAAATTGTATTTACATAACGTTTAAATTCTTGCGGAATTGACTGCTCTAAAATGTATGGCCAGGGTTACGATGGGGCAAGTAACATGTCAGGGAAATTTAAAGGAGTACAGACTATAATACGAAATAAGTATCCTATGGCATTATATGTTCACTGTGCTGCCCATGCATTGAATTTGGCAGTGTCTTCATCAAACTGTTTATGTGTGGTAGAAAAAATGCATTGTTTTTTAACACACCTAAACGCCACAGTATACTTTTGGAAGCTATTGCTAATAGCGATCTCAACCCATCATCCAAATCATTAAAGCGTTTGTGTGCAACACGTTGGGTTGAAAGATACACCGCTGTTAATGATTTCGTTGAATTATTTCCATGTGTTCCATTGGAAGGAATATCAACCACCTTTAATGACAAATCATCAACTGATGCCAGTATGTTACTATAGTCCATGGATTCTGAGTTCTTAATTTCTATTCAAGTTGTTAAGGTAATCAAACATTGTATTTGGGTTTTAATGATATTTTTTTTATTTTGTTGTTAATAATTATAGCGTATTATCAGGTGGTATTTTCTTGTGGTTTACCTTTGTGTAAATGTTTTCAAAAATATGATATTGACTTGAAAAAAGCCGTACAGTTAGCGGAGTGCAATGTATCTATGCTCGAGGATTTAAGACAAAATATCGAAAAAGAATTTAAATCAATGTATAAAGAGGCTGAGGTATACTAATTGTTATTGTCCTTAGAAATTATTTTTATTATATAGGAATAGATATTGTACCTATATTAATTTATTAAATACAATTAGAAAATGGCAGACTTTTTGGATATTAATATATCTATCAAACGCATAAGCAAAAAAACTGACAAATCGGGCAAATATATTTTCTGAGGATAAGACGATTCAACCTGAAACCTACTATAGAATTACCATATCGATACCGTACATTGATTCTTTTATAAATAATTTAAAAGAAAGATTTCTTGTCCACAAAAATATTTTAAAAGGTACCTAAGTTACATTAAAATTGTTATATGTTACTAAATACTATTTACAAAAATCATTAGGTATGGAATTTCTGTCTGGGTTTTCAATGTATATTTTCTGGCAACATTGATTTTCAAGAACTTGAAGAACTTGTAAATTTTTATCTTGACACTGATGTTCAGACAGTAATTGCAGAGTTAAAAATCTAGCATTCAAAACTTAATATAACAAATAAATATCCTACGATAGCTATAGATGCCCTGAGATTATGTGATTCCTCAGTATTTCCAAATGTGCACCAGCTACTTAAAATACTATGTATCTTACCGCTGTCCACAACGACACCCGAAAGAACGTTTTCATACCTTAAAAGGCTGAAAACATACTTAAGGAATACGATGGCTGAAGTAAAAATAGATAGTTATTTTTCGTATTTAAGATAAGTATAAATCTATTTATGTAATTACTTTTCAGACTCGACTAAATGTATTAACTTTGCTATCAATTCACCGATAAGTTTCTATTACGCCCGAAGAAATTATAGATATTATGTCACAACAATCAAGAAAAATAGACATTAAATTGTAAACTTTATAGCAGTGGCGGTTTTGGGGGTGAGGCGCCGCCTAACCTTCAATTTTAAGTAAAAAATACTATTAAAGTATAATTTTTGGCCCACCGATAGCATATATATATATTTCGATAATAATTTTTAACGTTTTTATGATTTTATTTGAGAAAAAAATCTTCTTTGCCAAGTTTAACAATATGAATTATCATTTATTATATTGTAAATGGTAAATCATATTATCATTTAGTGTTTATTACCAAAAATAGTGATAAACCGATAAGAAATGTATGAAATAATTATTACGTAAACAAACGCTGGTGTTTCAACCGGCGGCAATGTTCCGATGACATCAGAAGGCACCGTTCAACTCCGCCTCAGAATATGTACTATTGTGTACATGAATTACACACACAAGCGTATGTACGCGAATGCATGCGACTATTTAATAACTAGAGTTGCGCATGCGCAATGATCATTGTGAGGCTCGACTAACATCGCCTTATGTACTAAAAATAGACTCGGTATACAGGAATATATAGTCAGCCGGCATTTCAACGTAAAAACACATTATCACTTATCAGTAAAGATGTTATTGTTGCAATCGAGACTCGAGACAGTCCTAATTAAACCGTTGTCCGTTGTAATATCTATTGATAATAATTTTATATTTGTCATTAGTCATTTCTGTCTTGACGTCTTGTACGAATAGTCGCTTGTGTAGTTGTGTCGTACACTTTTTCGGTGGTTCCGGTTCGTCTTAACGGCTACGTTAAAATATATGTGCGAGTGCTGCATTTTTTTGTAATAAACATTAATAAATTAATTACTGTTAGAGTTATGACGTATCCAGTGACAGACGTGGTAGTTATGTTGTTGGAGACGCCGTTTCGACGATGGCATTCTGATAATAAAAATGATTTGCTAAAAGTGGGTAAGCCTATTCCGATTTTGTCAGCTTTGGCTCCTGACAAGAAACTAAGTAAGGTATTCTGTAGGTCATTTAATCCAAATTTATATCAACAACACTCTGGGTTATGTGGGAGTCATTATATACAAAAATTGTTTTGTTGGCCATGTTTGTTGTTGGGTAAAATTAAGTCTGTGTGGAATACTGTTGGGTATTATGATTTAAAAAATTTATCCAGAGGTATACAAATACATCAAACATCAAAAGGACATTTTCATAATCATTTAGGATTAAAAAACCTCGAAAAAATTCTTTTACTATACTAGATGTTGTTAATGAACATGGTAATTTGTTTAAAAAAAATTATAATGAGAATGTGGATTAAATCGTTTATTTAATCGATTTGGTTTTATTTTTGGGAAAACAAGAGTTGGCATTTAGAGGTCATGATGAAAGCAGTGATTCATTAAATAAAGGGAATTTTAGAGAGTTGTTTGATATGCATATTATTAGGTGTACTCAAGAAATACAAAATCATTATAATAGTATAAAAAACATATTTCCAGGTATGTCCAAGTCCATACGAAATGATTTAATTTCATGTATTTCTGAATTTTTAATAAACCAAATAAAAAATGAAATCAAACAATGTAAATTTTATTCCATTCAAATTGATGACACTACAGATATTAGTCAAAAAACACAATGTTCAATAATAATTAGATATGTTACAGATAAATCTGAATTGGTTGAGCGTTTCTTGGGTTTTCATAATGTCAGTGAAGACCGCACGGCTCAAGTTTTATTTAATTTGGTTAATTCTGTTTTACATGAGTTTGATATAGAAAATAAATTAGTTGGACAATGTTATGATGGGGCATGTGTAATGTCTGGGAATTTAACAGGTTTACAGGCTAGAGTTAAGGAAGTTGCACCTAATGCTTTATTTACACACTGCCTAGCTCACAGATTAAATTTGGTATTGCAACATGGTTGTAGTATAAATGCTAAATGTCGTATATTTTTTGCTAACCTCACTGGTATCGATGCTTATTTTCACAATTCCACTTCACGTACTAATTTTGTAGATACTATTGTAGGGAAAAGAATTCCTCAATTTGTTCAAACAAGATGGTCCTCACGGTCAACAATTTTACACACAATAGTTAATGAGTGGTCTATTCAGGACTAGGCATAACAACTTAAAAAGTTCTTTTCAGGACTAAGCATACCTACTTAAAAAGTCCTATTCAGGACTAGGCATAAAAACTTAAAAAGTTCTTTTCAGGACTAGGCATACTTACTCAAAAGGTCCTTTTCAGGACTACCAAATTTTAAAATGCTCTGTTTATTACCTATTATTTACTATACGAGACAAGTATATTATTAGCATTTATACAATTATAATTATTTTTATGTTTTTAAATTACATTTATTGTGAATTCTAATTTTGTATGGTTGAGGGGGGGGGGGGGGTGATACATAGGTTGCCTCACCGAAAAAATACTACCAGAACCGCCACTGCTTTATAGTGTGCACATTTTGTAGAAAAAATAAAAATAAGTTTTTTTATACAAAAACTTTCTAGTTTTTTGGGGTATACGTCATATCCCCCCCCCCCCCAATGAAAATTCCTGTCTACGCCACTGGTACTATCTATGTTCCTTATTAGTATTTTTTATGTTTAATTTGTTGTATTTTAGTAAGTGCCTAGTACCTATAAAAATACTATTCAAAGGAGAGACTAAGTGTTAAATGTAAATGTTTAATGTGCTATGAATGTTGCTTAATAATATTTTATTAAAATAAAGTATAAATTTAATTTTTACAGTAATTGTATTTTATTAAAATAAAATGTAAATTTAATTTTTACACTATTTGTATTTTATACATCATATTGAAACGGTATAGCTCCTACACCAGTGTAATAATTCATGAGTTTTTCACGGACCTATTTTGCGTTTCTATTGTGTGTATTGGAATCAGTTTGTGTAATAGGCTGTAAAGCATTCGAACTTAAGTTTCTTCTCCACTGACCAGGAATAAGTAAACCATTGTTGTAGTGATTAGGTAAGGTGGCAGGATAATAGGAATTTATGCCTTAAAGAAATAATTGTACATTATTATGAAATTGAATTATATTTCCTTTATAATTAAGAGCTTTTATTTTTTTAATAACTACCTTCCATTTTCTCAGATTTTTATACACAACTGCAGCTTCAATTATAGCATTGACAGTTTTTTCACTGGCTATGATAGGACGACGAAAAATTCTCCATTTTGAAGACATTATCCCAAATGTATTTTCTATTGTACGTCTGCTCCTACTTAGTCTGTCAACAATATGCAACATTTTATAATTAGAAACTAGTATTCTTAATAAATATTACCTGTAGTTGAATATGGCATGATTTTTATGTAAATTATGTTTGCCTCTACCAGGGAATGGTCTCTTGAAATTGGTAAGTAAGGTAAATGATTCATCAGCTACTAAATGGAATGGTATAGGTCCATTAACATTATCAATTTCAACCGGTTTTGGAAAATCTATACTTTCGCTGAGCATACTTTTCCCAATAACACTGTTTTTAAATATTCCACCATCACTGCATCTACCCGGAGACCAAATATCAACTAATTTGAAATTATAATTAGCATCACATAATGCCAATAAAACAATACTGTGAGTCCCCTTGTAGTTGTAATTTGAAGAACCACTATTTGAAACTGCCTTAATATAATATACAAATACTTCAATTTTAGATTTTTGTTATGTACAGATTACAATTCATAAAAATGTATCTCAAATACTTGGTGTACAACATGTTTTCCATCAAGGGCACCACAGCAATTAGGCGAATTCCATTTCATCGGAAATTCGTGAGAAATATTTTGCCAATCTTGTTTTCGAGGAACTTTTAAAACCTTTAAAAATAATAAATAAATGGGTGTTGCTCTTGTATGCAGACTTCAAATGGATTCGGTCTACAATCATATACATAAACTGCATATTAGAGCAGAAACAAGAGTAGTCCGAATATAAGAGTAATATTACATTTAACAATATATTGTTGTTTTTTAGTCACTATATTTTCAAGAGTATCTCATAAAGCTGTACAGCACCCCAAAATTAATTTTGAAACCGTTGTGTGACCAATTCTAAATGAATAAGATAAATCTACCATGCTTTCACCGGATGCCATGTAACTATAATTTATATAAAAATATTTATGAGTAGCATGTTACCACTGATCAATATTGAAGTTGTAAGAATACCGAATAGTTGCAGTTAAACATGCACCAACTGATAAAGTGTCAGGTCTAGTAGGAATTCTTTGTAAAAATGGACCAACATGAATGATCAATTCCTCAAAAGCTGTAGAAGTCATCCTCATGTAATTATAAAATAATGCTGAATTGTTTATTTGATAATCTTTTATCAAGCAATAATAATCACCATGTATTTTTCGTTCTTTAAATATTGGTTTTACATGCCACTTTCTAGTATTTTTTCCACAAAAAAAAAAATAAAAGTCACTAAATTACAACAGTGGAAGTAGTTAAGCAAATTAGACCAACACATTAAACATCAAAGAATAGATAAATAAATATATTAATATTAAAAGACCCTGTTCAGTAGTTTATTTTAAAAATAAGTACCCATATTAATTAAAATAAAATTTGTTAATACAAAGGTACCTCTGTCTATTTTTGATTGATTGTAATGCACAAATTATAATTATTTTGAGTCGATATAGACTCATATTATGTTCATAACTATTGTCCATTTTTAAATTTAAATAATGTAATTAACTTGATTAACATTTAACTGGATTAACTCATAATAGTTAATACTTAATAGTACTAGTACATTGTATAAATTATGTCATAAATCATAATACATATTATAATGATTATTAATATCAATTATCTACTATCATGTATCAATGGCTATCAATGGCATATCAATGGCTGGAATATGTTCACCTAAGTCCTATACCATTATTACCAAGTTGTACCGACAAACATCACAACTCCAAGATACAACACGACACGAAACACGAAGTAGGTGTGCACCCGCCTTAACATTAAAGATTAATCAATAACCACATGTTTTCAGAAACAGTTTACCCAAGGTTTATAGATAATAGAGGTTGCCTCAAAGTGATGTAAACAAATCAAAACCCACCGCTCCGTCCCCTATCATGTGACGTCACCCGTCGTACAACATTTAGCGGCTATTTAGTGTTTATATGATACGTAGACGTAGTACAAGTTTATAATTATTAATAAAGTATTAATAATTATATAGTATTTGTATTATTTTTACTGTTTTTTGATACAATATTTGTATATTAATATTCTTTTCTAATTCCCTGTTCTATGTTTATAAAACATATTTCTTTTAAAATTATCTTAGATTGAAAATCAATAATATGAAAATGATAATGGCATATTGCCAAAAAGCAATCTAATTAGCTCTAGTTTACTATGCAAAGTACCTATTATAATACGCGTCGCATCAAATAATATACATTGTTCATTACCAATCGGTATGCTGAAATAGAAATTGCTTAACCATGAGCTACTAGCACAACTTGAGCAGTCCTTTGCCAGGACACTTACCTACCAGACATTTCCTATAGTCGACAAACTTCAGTATAAGCTCTTAGTTCTCATAGTGCTGGACGCTGGTCATTAATATGACCATATTATTGTTTGAATTACATCATAAATATTATTTTAACAGCAATTTTGACAAATAAATTTTTATTTTGTATAATATGCATATCAATTATAAAACATTATAGTTATACATATTAATTAAATTTCTTAAACATAGTATTTTTCATCATTAATATTTTAATAATATAAAAGTAATAAAAATTATGCTCAAGTAAAATATGAGTTGTGTAAAAGATATAAAAAATAGTTCAGTCAAAAACAAATTAAAATAATACATTGGAGTAATTAAAAGTAATAATTTAATTTTTTAGTCGCTTAGATTTAAGTCATCAGTCTTTTTAATTTTTGTAATCTATGCAGCTGAAGTTTTGCTTTTCTTTTTTTATTTAACACATTTGTATGCTGATTTAAATATTTCATACGAATAAGTACTCTTTGTTTTACATACGTCTCAACTCTCAACAACAGGGTTATACTTTTCTTCCATTTCCATTCTCTCAATAATTTTTTTTGACAAATTTTTAACAACTTTAGGTCCCTTAGGAATTTGTTGTTTGGTAATCTTTTTGAATAATCTTTCAATTCTAAAAATATATAAATATTTTTCGATCAAACACGGCATTAAGTATAATGTATAAACTATTAGCAGTGATAGCGATTAGTGAATTATTGTACGACGGGTGACGTCACGGACAATTTACCCCCACTCCCATTTTTTCATAATTTTTGAATTGAGGCAACCTCTATTATCTATAAACCTTGCAGTTTATCGGCATTTACTATCGTTTATCTACTAATACGTGATAAGACCGTATACCAGGGATCAGTAACCAGTGCTATATTATGTAACCATGATGGTAAATTTTAAAATGTTGTTTTTATACTTTATAGCTGATAAAGCCGAGCTGATGCAGGCCGCGGTTGGCTATAGTCACTGACACTCGGTATTCTGGTGGGAGTGATGATGGAACACTTTTTTTTTCTTATAGTATTGTTTATCTATCTTGTTATTATTGATTATGACCGTTATGGGTATTGTTAAATTGAGATAAAATTACGTATTGACTTCTGGTTTTTACTATTGGGTTGTTAAATTGCCCAGTAGCAGTAAATTGAACGAATATTTCAGCATTAATAAGTCATAAACGGCTTACTCAAATTAAATTCGGTAAACGTTAAAATTATTTTTCTCAGTATGTTTATAGATTTTCGTTATCGAAAATAGGTATTGCCATTTGAAAATCGAAAGTTGATAGTGTCTTATCATATAAGGGAGGAAGTTAAAATTTTCAAAATTGTAACACAGTGTAAAATAGTAAAACCTAGAAAGTTTAAAAAAAAAATTATTTTAAAATTCCTAATACTTTCCTAGATATTAAATGGTTCACGATAAAAAAAAATCACCCTGTATAGTTACTAATTGTATTAGTTGATTACTATCAGTGAGAAGTATGAAGCTGTTTATTTTTGACTAGGAACTCCAAGTTTGCTGGAAAGGACGTTAATTGTATTCTTAAGTCCGGAATAGGATAAAAAGAGAGTTCAGACCGTTATTATAATAACATAACTATCCAACTAACATAATATTTTTACATTATAAATTACAATTAAAATAGTTAAATACATTAATAGTTCAAATATTTTGAAATTCAATGTGTCATTAATAATATCCACCATATGTCTTATATTTAAGTGTAACTGACTAAAAGTTTTATTGCATTCTTCGAAAGAGTAAATAAGTTTACTCTTCGAGGTGTTAATTTGCATTTCATGTCTTAAATGTTTTATGAGATCAATTTTTTTTGAAAATGATATATTAAACTTATCACAAATATATATCTTTTTTCTTTTTTGTGTTTATTCTCATGTGCTTATAAAAACCTGATCTTGAATCATATTGTAGTCCATAGTGGTACACGTAAACATAATTAAATACAGTTATGAAATAAGATATAGTTAAGAAAAAAAGCAGAAAATGTGTGTAATAACAACAAACTGGAGAAATAGAATGAAATTATTTTGCCAATTATAGCGGATAAAATAATCAAGATTAAATACTGATTAGACACTGGATATACCATAGGATATTCCATAGGACTATCTGCTGTGTTTATACAGAAGAGTAGAAAAGTATAAAGCCAAAAGTAATAAAAAAGATTACAATTTTATTACTCTCATATTTTTCCGTACCTCACAAATGGTCCAAAGTACCATACATATTATATATCATTATATATATACATATATAAGATATAGCAATACTCAATTATGGCAAAAAAATGAAATTGGTAAATTAACTGCAGCTGATAGAGCAAAATTAGCAGGTAGCTTATTTTATTTTATATGATACTATACTACCATCTATACTGATTTCTATTCAAAGAGTATTAAATTATGTTCAAGATTCATAATAATTATAATAATATACTTTCTTTATTATAATAGCTTGATTATTATATTTGTTAAATAATATTATTATTACCATACATTAAAAATAATTTTATTATAATATCTATAAAATAATATTATTAAATTACTAAATAAATATTATGTTAGTTGGATAGTTATGTTATTATAATAACATTATTTTTATAACAATATTTGTGTACTGTAATAATAATAATATCATTACACTATTGCTATCTGGGCACTAGTTCGAATTTTGAAAATATTTATCAAATTAAAATTGTATTATATAATTTACCTTTTATAGCTAAAATTTGAAAATTTAAAATAATGTTCCACGTAAATATGTTGTACATTTATACTGTATTCTCAATGGATTGTGTATTTTTAAATTTTAAATTACGATATTGTGTTTTTTAATAACTTATTAACTATTAATGTATTTAAAAATAGATTAGATAACGATGCGATAAACCGGTGTCCTACATATAGGCCACTGGGCATGAATGGGTTAAATAAATTAGTATTTGGAGTAGGCATATGTTTACTTTTTAGCGCTATCCAAATAGCTTTACATATTTCAATAACAATTGTTGATACAGCGCTTTTCGATATTCTGAATGAAAATGCAAGTTGTCTGAACGCCATTCCTGTTGCTAGGTACCTATAAATAGGGTGGTTAAATATAATATAATATAATTTTAATATTTTAAACTACAAAATAATTTCCAAATATTCGTATTTTGACGAATTTCGTCAATATTTTTTCAAACACTTATAAAGAAAAATGTTTGCCAATGTATTTAGATAATTTTTGAAGCCCTCATAGTTTAACGAATGTTAACTTATGAGCTGCCCGGTTATTGCACAAAGTACTATATAATTTCATTCTTTATTACATCATTAAACCATCATTAACTAAAATTGGTTATTAATCAGTATTAAAATTAAAAACCAAATAATTTATTTTATTTGTATTACCATTTCTTACGTTATTATAAATGTGTTTGTAGAAGATGACGCTAAAAAAAAATGGAAGAACCTTAGAGATACGATTTTGAGGGAAACAAAAAAAGTAAAAAAAAAGCCGATCTGGAGATGCACAAGAATCTGCTGAAATATATACAGGGAAATGGATTTATTATAAATCTATGTTATTCTTAAAAGATATAACGACGCCTAGAGACACAGAAGGAAATGTTTCCGAAGAAGACCAGTCAGAAGTCGAAGAAAATAATGAACATATGCAAAGTCCCACAAGTCCTTCTTTTGTAGCTGACACCGAAACAGATGATGCCAGTGTTCCAAGTGTTTTGTCAGTATTGGCTTCTAATATTTCAAATGAATCAGATGTCTTAGCTTCAGCTACACAAGAAGTTTCTTCAAAAAAAAGGAGGAAAAAGCAGGAGAACATAAGTTTTGAAAATTAATTGCTAAAACTTGAAACACAATAACTATCAGCATTATTACAATCAAATAAAGACCAAACTATACCAGACGATGAAGATATGCTATTTTTGAAATCCCTTCACCCATATTTTCATAACTTAACTAACATACAGAAACTTAAGATCAGAAATCAAATTCAATCAATATTTATCAACGAATTATCCACACAGCCGTTGTATATTCCTTCAAATTCTAATAAAGCCCATGCGTCAAATGATCCAAATTACTTGTACCAATATTAAGTTAATTTTCTTATTAAAAAAATTTTTTTTAAAGTTATTTATTTTTATTTTTATTAATTGTTAATTATAATATATATAATACCAAGTTGGTCATTTTTTTCTCTAGTTTTTTGTATGGAACCAATTATTATCTATGTATATAAAAATGGAGACAAAAAATTCGAAATTGCATCAGTTGAGAACGGCTGGGCCAATTTTGCTCAATTTTTTTTTAAGATGTTCGTAATTACCAGGTGAAGGTTTTTAAGAAAGAACATTTTTAAAAAGTCAACCGAATAATTAGAAAAACTGCAAAAACTATTTATTGATGTCTGGGATTTGAACTCGATACCGTTGTCTTTATTTACTCTATGGCGTACTATATTATATTGGTTGCTATTGGTTAATCGGGCATGTTTGTTGATTTGTATTATTATTTTTTGTAAATATATCTTAAATATAGATGAATGACCTATGGGAAGAAGATCCGCTGATTTAAAAAGGGTTAAATTTGGTTTTTTTTATTCATCGGATTTTAGTACGGTTAGGTTAGGTTAGGATTTATAGGTAGGTGGAATTAAGTAAAAACGTCAAACTTGGTATAACTTTGGTACTTTTTGAGTTAAATCATACACTTACGTACAAACAACAGGTGTCCGCGACCTACCGCAGGTAAATTACCTATCTGATAATGTACTGCTGCAATTCACAATTTTTATTCCGGGCAACAGAAAAGTTAAGATAAATCTAGAACATCATACACCGAATATTAAATAACGCATTGAACAATGTTTGAGTCATATAGAGTTGGTACATTTAACGGGAAACGAAGTGCACGGGATCAGCTAGTTTTTAATAAATACAAAGTTATGACGTTATGTATATTTATGTATAATATGCCTTATTGTAACCAGTAGTCGTTGTTCTATTGATATCGGTTCTTGGAAATTAGTTGTTTGAAAATCAAATTCAGGTGTTACAGCTTCTAGTATATAATCAAATGTTTTTGTTGACATTCTAGTGTATGATCGAATGACAACCCATTTTCTCTTAATTGAGGATATTGATGATAATATTCACCAAATACCAATCGATCATTGTATATTACATTTGAAGCTGTTCTTTTGTTTTTTTTATATTTTTTATACAATACATATTTAATTGCAGAACTTTCAGTAAGAAACAATTTTTGTTCAAAAGTCAACATTTTTATAAACATTAAAGGTTAGGAACAGTAATTTTAGAAAAAAATAACCAAACGACTGCCTGTGATTGAGGACGAATTCAGTCCGACGAATTCAGGAAGAATTCAGTAAATTCGCGTTCGTCGCGTTCACGTAGGACACGTTTCTTCCTAGCTCAGCAACTTTATAAAAGCCCTCTCTAAAGTCTCTTCAATATTACTTTCCAGGAAAATTTTGGTCGCTGATGTTTTAAACGCCCTGTTCTCTGACGAATTAGGAACGTTGGGGCGGTTGTAGGTGGCCTCGAGCTTAGATTAAATGTAATCGCCCCTTGCTGAACTCGTGTTTTTAATATTTGATTTAGCTCGGGCTCGAGTGATCGGAGAAACTCGAAAACTATAAATTACTGAATTATTAACATTTTTGGCATAGTACCAAACTATTTTTCTGCTTGATGAGGACAAAATCTCAACGAAACCAGGGGACTGCACTAGACTCATGCGTGCCTTCTTTGCCCTAGTAGCTGACATAGTATTTGTGGCGGAAACACGTTTGCCCTTATCAGTCGTAGTGTAATCTTTAAAAAAAAATACATGATCCTAATTAAATAAAATGTGATGGCGAATCTTTTAAAAAAATCTATTGACCTCCCTACTGATACATAAAACCTAATGACATTTCTTTTAAAAATATATTTAACTTGCAACTGATTAATAAAATCAAGTAGTTTAAAATAAATCCAACGACAAACGTCTTTATGTAAATAATCCTCAATGGATAAAATAGAGTTAGCGGGTCTTTTAAATTGAACTAATTCGCGATGGATAAATAAAATAAAACTAACCTGTAATATTATCGTAAAAGTCCTGAGTTTCATCAATCACGAGAATACGAATATCGTTATCGGATGGTGAATTGTTAAAAGCCGTGTTTGATCCACCGGCCGGAACGTCGAGGACAAATATTTGAGGAGCAATCTGAATATGACCCTGTTTAGTAGACGAAGGTGCGAACTGTTTAACACATTGTCGTTCTGGTTGGGCAACGATAGGTGTAACTGGTTGACGATGAGCCGGAACAGCCTTGGAAATAAAAAAATATTAGATATAAATTATTAAAAAAAAAAGTTCTAACTTAATATTGTAAAATCTTACTTTGATCATTTTCAGGCACTTCCGCTAACATTTCATCATACCCATCATTAAAATATTCGCTCAGCGTATTATTAGCATTGTTAGTATGATTTGATGGACCTGGTACTATATTTTCACTTCGTTGCGCTCGAGCAACAGCTTATAAAATAAATATTGAATTAGATATTAAACCTAACAGGTCATAAAATAAATATTAAAAATAAACATACCATGCTTGTTTTTCATATGTCTATTTAGATGGCATTTGTAGCTGAAGATCGACGCACAAACAGTGCACGTAAAACGAACACCATCGTGATTTTTTTTTATGAGCTGTCAAATTTCCTTTACGTGTAAACGTGGATGGACACTGCTCGCATTTAAACATGTTGTTTAAGAAAATGAAAATATATTTAAAAATTTAACACTTGTAAAAATTTTAAAACACTGTAAATTTTTTAAAGTCAGCGTGAGCGAACGAGCACGATGAATGTGTCGGGTAGACTAAACCGATTCAGCTACACTCGGCGATATATACAAGGAGGTACGCTAATGATTCTTGTGGCAGATACTTGTATTATTAGTATATATTAAAATATAATTAAATAATTGATTATAGCAAAGAACTAATGTTTCCTTGTGTGTGAATAGAAAAAAATATTGAATACGAATAATATCTAATGGCAGGAAATATACGGCGGTAGCGCCATTGTCGCCTAATGTTAAGATGGGTGCAAACGTGAGAGGTGGCCGTTGCATACGTTTTACTTTCAGTGTGGCGTCCTCTTAAGAATCTGCGACATCCTGGCGACAGTCTGTAGACGGACTATTATTATACAGGCTGAATTGGTATCTATACTCCGCGCCACGAGAGAAGGAACCCGTTTCGCGCATGCAGACTGACGGCAGCTAGCGTTACTAGGCTCCGTTTCCCCCACTTTGTCCTCTACAGTTCGCGCTGTGGCGTGCATATAGCGTGAAATATGCGATATACAGAGTGATTATATTATAATTTGTAATATCGTATGTCACGTGCAGAACAAATCATTTATTTCCTATCACATATTTATCGATTTCGTTTGACTAACAATTTTTTTTACTCATATATTTGGTGAATATACACCAACAACTTAATTTTAATCGATTTTTTTTAAGTATTTTGTTCTATAAAAACAATTGTTGAATTAAATTTTTTTTTTAATTGTACGTAATTATATTGTAGGTGTCTAACAAAAAACACAAGTAAACAAATAATACGAAACAAAATAAAATTATAATAATATCGTCCTTCGAAATATTCAAAACTACTTTAAGTATGTTATACAACTCTCAACTAATAAAATATTCTACAGTTACATACAAAACCAAAAATGTACATAATATATACACAATATATTCTACAGTTAAATACAAAACCAAATATGTACATATATACACAATATATTTTACAATTATATATAAAACTAAAAATATACACATTACATACACAATATATTTTACAATTAAATACAAAAAATATTACTCGTCAGAAAAATCAGACGAAGTGTCACCAGTGATTGTCATTATATGATCCTCATCATTCATCATTCTGTCAGAAATTATATCGATGTCATAAAATTTGTCCTCTTCTTTTATGGTGTGACTTACGAAATTGGCCCACATTTCAGACGTCACTTTCTTAACTCCTTCGTTCAGTAGTATTCGAACATCGTTTAACTTAAACGATGTGTTATTTTGCTTGACGTGATTTTTCACAACAGACCACGCAAGTTCAATCGGGTTAAGTTCGCAGTGGTAAGGTGGCAAACGCAATACAAGTTTATTTACTTTCAAGGCTTCTTCGTCGATTACATATTTATCATGGCGAGGTCTAATTTCATTTACCATGTCAAGTAATCGAATTTTATCATTGGTTTGTCTAAAACCACACTTTTCGACTTCAACCAATTTTGAATGTCCTCTTTTTTCCATGTAGTTGTGGGTACCGGGTCTTTTTTGACAGAATGGGAAGAAGCATTATCCATTACTATCACGCAATTGTCCTTCAATCGGGGCAAAACTCCACAAAACCAGTCGTAAAATGTGTCCCCGTTCATTTCGTCATGGTAGTCTGCTGTGTTCTTTTTCGACTCAAAACACAATAGACCCCCCTCGACGAAACCATCTGCTGAACCGATATGGACAACTATTAACCGCTTGCCTTTACCTGTCGGGTTTTTTGGGCCTGTTGTCAGTCCTTTCAGGAATGCATCAGTATGCGATTTCACAGAAGTATCAATCCATACTTTACTGCTACACTCGCCTGCGTTTACCCATGTCTCGTCTAGAAAATATATTGTACGACCTTCATCCCGATAACGCCTTATGTCCTCGATATACTTTTGAAGTATTCATTTTAAAAAAATAACGGTATTGACACACTGTATCAAGTGCACGGAATAACAAATGATACATACTATACAGCGTTCCCGACCGTTAACGATTGTGATCGAGCAACGACGATATTTCAAATAAGTGGGGATGCGCGGAGTCGGTTGCTATTTGGTCGGGACACGGCCACACGGGTTCCTTCTCTCGTGGCGCGGAGTATATTCGATATTTGTATACTATAGGTATAATGGTAATTTATTGATTATTTTATAATGTTCGGCGAGAGTGCGAACGGATGTCTATTTTATCCTTTAAGTGATGGCTCCTAATGACAATACTCGGTGGCGGTATTGTGTGCGCAGCTGCAAGCTATTAGTACCTACAAATGTTTCTTTTGCAGATTTATGTAAAGCTATGGCGATGAAGTGTGACCCACTGTCGAATGACGTAAACCGGTAGGTAATGGTGTTAAATAAGTAACACGTAGATTACGTATACTAAGATTTATGATTTATTAAATTAAGCACTTGTTGTAATAATGTATATAATGCTTTTATAAGTTGATATTAATACTAAATATTTCAATTAAACACAAAAGAATTAATATAAATAATTAATGTAATGAATCTATATAAATACTGACACTGAGAGAGGTTCTGATTAACACTATAATATGAGGTTCTGATTAAAAACTATAAAAGATGCTCTGACCAGTAACGCGGGTGTTGCTCACACTTTGGACCTTACCAGACTGCCGTCCGCCGGGCTAGGCCCGCCGCAACGGTCCGTCCGGGTTTCTAAGAATGTGCTGACCCAGCCCTTTCGGTCACGTAGACCATCGTGAGAACCGAATCGTTCACACACTCGACTTAGCCCGAGTCAACACATTTATCCCTATATATGTATTACATACATACACATATATACATACATACATACGCACATACGCGTGCATGCATATACAACATACCCCCAGCGTTAAACTGGAGCAGTCCCTGCGACCTTATTTACTACTCCATAAATTTCTTACACTACGGGTACACCTAGTTACAATAGCTCAATAGATTCAGTAGATTTAAAAGTGCGGTTTAATAAATATGAATACAAGTATAAATTTATTAAATTATCAGAACTGGTAGCTGACGAAAGATATGAAGTTACTGCTTTTGAACTTGTTAACATTAATGGGCATGATAAAGTATCTGTTGTATTGGATAATAAATATAAACTCATTTTACCAGATAGATTTTTTAAGACTATTTCTGAAAATATATATGAAATTAATGATAAAGAGTGGTCTACACTTTACCTTTATTACAGGTATAAAAAAATACTTGATAATGGAGATTCATACCATCGTATAGAGTTTGAAGGTAATTCTTTTGACACTACTGTAATTAAAGTATTAAAGAAATTAAATGAAGAATATTACAAATACAAATATACAAAATTATCTGATTTAAATATCAATGAACTTTATAAAATAACAACAATTAGAAAAGTAGATACAAAATATGGTGAAAGAGTTTCTGTTTTATTAAACAATAAGGATATGCTATTATTGCCCCAGAGGTTTGTTAATATTATTTCTGAGTTAGATATAGACAGATATGATGGCGAAATGTATATGAAATATAAGGGTAAAAAAACTCTTGATAATAGGAAAACAATCCATTTGATAGAATTTGAATAGTTGCAACATTTTTTTTTTTTTTTTTTGTTATTAAATGAAATTAATCAAAATCATGAATGGGTCTATTCATTTCGAACCTTATATGCATAATGAAAACAATAGTATGTGTATTGGATTATATGCTTTGTCATTTGCTAATTCTGGTGATTTAATCAAAATAGAAAATTTTTGTCAGATAACAATTAACATTGACATAATTGATATTAAAAGTGGGCTTTATACTGTTGAAAAGTTAAATAAATTAATAAAACCAATAATTATCTCTTTTGTTGATAAAAAAGTTAAAACAGAATCTCCATGTTACTATGTTTGGATGAAAAATTAAAAAAATATTTAGGTTTTAATGGTAATATATATTTTTCAATGACAAGTGACAAAAAAATTTACTATCCCACTAGTGATGAATATTACATAAATATTGAACAGGGATGTGAGTTTAAAGTAGAAAAAGATTCACATAATATACCTATTTGAGTATATTCTATTAATGAAATTCAAAATTTATTAATTCCAGACAAGAACGTTGTTAATACTAAAATTACAGTGGTTAATAAATATTTAGTGATTTCAACTAACTATGAGTATGTTTTTGACTCTTATTTAACTAATTGTTTAGGAATTCCATTGTTTAATTCTTCTTCACGTTATCAAACTGAACCACCATTAGAACGAACTGTAAATTGTACACTAATGCCAACATTTTACACTCAAGGTTTCCTAAAGGGAATAAATGGTGTTATCGAAACAGAAAATAGCAAAACTATAATAGGAAAGAAAAATTATACTATTGATCAATTAAATAAAATACTACCATCAAATATAAAAATACAACAAACAGATAAACAAATTACAATAATATCTAGTATTTATTATTTATTGGATGAAAATTTAACATCAAGCCTAGGATTAGGTAAAAAATATATCCATAAATTAGATGTTATATTCAGTAATTATTTTGAAAATAAGTTTATTGAAATACATTGTAATATAATTGAAAGATCCATTTCTAGTCATAAAACTGAACAATATATGCATACAGACGGTGATATTTTAGGTGTTATTAAATGTGATAAGGGTGGGCAATATATAAATTAAGATGTTAAATATATTCCTCTAAGTGTAAGAGATTTTAATCATATTAATTTATTTATCACTGATCAAGATAGTATTGAAGTAATATGTAATGAATTTGTTGCATATTTAATTTTATATTAAATGGATAATAAATATGAAATTACATTGTTTCATTTAAATGATAATAGCAAATCAGAGTCAGTACTTCCAATACCTATGAGATGTTTAATTATAGGTTCTTCTGGATCAGGGAAAACTAATTTGTTATTTAATATTATTATTAAGTATTGGATTCCTTTTGAAAATCTTTATATATTTACAAAAAATATAGAGCAACCAATTTATGAAAGTATAAAAGAAGTATTTGCAAATTTGAATAATGTAGAGGTATATATAGCTAATGAAGAGATAATATCTGTTGATATGAATGTAAACCAGATAGCTTAGTCGTTTTTGATGATTATATTTTAGATAAACAAGATAGAATAAAAGAATATTTTGTAAGATCCAGATCCAAAAATATTTCATGTATTTTTGTAAGTCAGAATTATAGTTTATTAGATTTAAAAGCAATCAGAACAAATTGTAATTTTTTAATTGTATTTAAGCAGTCAGATTTTTATATTAGGAGAATATGGAAAGATTTTTTGAGTAATGATATAGTTTTTGATAAATTTAAATCTTTATGTTCAACTTGCTGGAAAAATAAGTTTGGGTTTATTTCAATTGATTTAACAGATATACACATTTATAACAGATTTAAAAAGATATGAATTTAGACATAAACATTAACGCAAACGTCAACGCATAACGTAAACGCATAACGTCAATATGAATTTGCTTATTAAAATTTTTCATATTAAATGGATATAAAAGATATGAGGAATATTTTTTTAAAAGATAGGAGGAAAGTAACGAAAAGTAGAAAATAAGGAGGCTTTGTAATGAAAAAATGAGAGTATATAAAGTCGGTTAAAGAAGCAGATGAAATAATAAAACTTGAAGATAACCTGAATAAGGAGTTTAAAAATGCAGCTTTAAGGAACATATATATTGAAGAAGAAAAAGAGAAATCATTTGGACCTGTAACAAATGAATTAAAAAATATTGTAAATGCAGTTAATGAAGTTAAAGAAATAAATATTAAAACTGATGAGGATATTCGAAAAGCGATAATACCTACTTACACAACTCCTTATAAACCACTATAACACCTCACATATTTATAGATTTGAATGATCAGTTCTATGTGGTGTTATGTGACAACCAGTTGTATAGATAGGGTCGCCAACCAGAGCCCGAGACCGAAGTCAGGGTAGTCAGGGTACTCTGGATTTTTCTTTTATAATAAAGTAATATATATATTTATATAACACAATTCTGCTTTATTATAATCGTTATGTATATTTTGAGAATAAAATGATAATGCGAAGTTATAAACAAAGAAAAGCCTTGCGGCATAAAAACTTTGTTCAAAAAAAATAAAGTTAAGTAATAAAATATAGTAAAATAATATTAGTAATGTCATCGAATATGACTTGACACATCATGCAAAATAATAACAATAATAAAGTGTATCGGCCATACCACGGGCGTCCGACCACGGCATAAGTATAAGTCATAGACATATTAATAAATGGACTGCGTCCCCCACACACCCCACCTATGTCACCGTTAGACCAACGTTGTTAGAAAGAGATCAAAGATATTATACATGAATGTGAAAGAGATAGAGCATAGCTTAAGAAAATCATAGATCAACAAATTAGATATCATGGAATGACAAGCAAAATTTGGAGGTGATAACATAATAATTTATCTATGGATGATCATGATAATAATATAAATATTAAATATTAATATATTATCAATTTTTGTTATCTACCTAAATGGTTTTAAATTGATTATAATGTTTTTTACTCCATGATATGTAATTTGTTCTTTTATGACCATCTTAAGTTGTATGCTATTTCTTTCTAACAATGTTGGTATACGAACCTCTCTTTCTACGATCAGTCCATTTATTAATATATCTATGGTATAAGTAATTGACTATTATCAATTACTTATTTCTATATTTTTTATTTTTTTTTTTTATTTTTTTTTTTTTTACTTATATACCGTATCCCAGAGTTGGGCGTCATTCGAATTAAATTTTATCTAGATGATTATTTAGTTAACATTTTATTCGAATAAATTATTATTCGAATGATTTTATTACAATTATTCGAATTAAAATTTATTCGAATAATTTTTTTTATAACAATTCGAATAAAAATTTATTCGATTAATTTTCAACTATTTTTATTCGAATAAAAAATCATTCGATTAATTTTCATCTATGATTATTCGAATAAAAAACTATTCAAATAATTTTCAACTATGATTATTCGAATAAAAAATCATTCGAATATTTTTTTTTACAATTATTCAAATAAAAATGTATTCGAATAATTTTCAACTATTGTTATTTGAATAAAAAATTAACCGATTCAATTTTAAACATAGATATTCGAATAAACAATAAACAAATATCCATCAATAGAAGAAAGTTAAGAATTAGAAAATTAGATATGTTTTTTTAAATTATATTTTAATAATAGTTTTATAATATTATAATATGAATAATATTTAATGGTAATATTTCATAACAATTATTACAACAATCATAAATAGTAATAAATAATAATTACAAAAACATAAATAAATAATTACAGCAAAAATTAAAATATACAATTATAACAAATTTAGAATTTTAATAAATAAGTATAATAATAGGAAGAAACTAATTATAATTATAATAATTATAACAATATACTTATTAGTTATTACTGCATTTTTAAATTAGATTTCAAAATAACCCTCTCTTCAAACATATCATCTGATAGCTTGTTAGATTTTGGTAAATTAGTCATAGTTGCATAAGAAAATAATCTTTCGACGGCAGCTGATGACGGCATTGGTGTATTATAGCGTAAAAATATCTCTTTGATTGGCGGATACTGATGAAGAATTGACAGGTCTTGAGACAAGTTGTTGAAAAATTGTACGACCTACAAAAATATGAATAATAATTATTAATTATATTACAATTTATAATTTGGTAATTAATTTACTATAATGTACCTGTATTTCTGCCTCTGACGCTGCAGAGCGTCTACTTTGTTGAGCGTTTCTGTCAATGTTAACTAATGGGTCAAAGTCAAAAAAATCGTGTGCTTCCTCATATGTTGATTGCTCATACAATTCTGGTGATTCTGAATTTGTTGATGAAATAGTATTTATTTCTTTTATTTTATTAGTTACTGCTGTTTTAAATATTTGAATACATCGATCATGTTGAGAAGAGTCAATGCAACTTAGCCAACGGTTTTTAAATTTCGGATGTGAAAATGTGGCAATCATAGCGTTTTCTGCTTCAATTGTATTTAATTGTACTATATTAGAAAACCTTTTTTCAATACTTGTGAGGATACTGTTAACTAAAGGTTCACAATATCTCCAATTATTTAGTAACAAATTCTTAACTTTGCGGCGTAAGCTCAATATGACTGGAAGAACAAACCCATAGAAAATATTATTTTCACCTTGGAGAATATCTAATGCTTCTGCTAAAGGACCAACGCAATTCAAATGCACTTCTATATATAAATATTCCGAATCCTTTAACATGCTATTCTTGAATCCTAATGCTTCGAATAACTCACAATTTTTCTCCTTATATTTTAAAATTTGTTTCAATGAGTCATATAAAGAGTTCCAACGTGTATCCCCGGGTCTTGATAAATTATGGCCCAATGTCTGTAATATGACCTACATAATTCAAGTATAATATTTGTAATTATTAAAAAATATAAGATTAAATAATAATGTAAAAAACTAAAAATTTACCTCAGCAGATTTTGGCCTATTTGAAGCGTTCCATAATAATGTACACTTTTTCATTACCGAAGTGTGTATTTCAGTTAGTTGTGAGTTTTGCGGTGATAGTTTTAATTAAATCAGATGTAGCAAAAAGGCTCAATGTATGAGCACAGCATCGTAAATGTCGAGGTAGCCATGGATTATTTTCAAGTTCTTCCGTTGTTTCTACTAAATCATAAGTTATTTGTTCATCGTCCTGTCCCTGGCTATCTACCGATGTTGCATCACCAAATAAATCAATATTCCCTACTCACTATCTTCAACATTATCAAAGTGAGTTAATTTAACACCATACACTTTAAACGCCTTGACAAAATTACTTCCATTGTCAGTAATTGTTGCGATTATCTATAAATTAGTAAATAGGGAAAATATTGTCAATATTTGTATTTAAATGATTTTTATGATATTTCACTGAAGTATACATACGAGTATACATTATTAAAATATATAGTATATACAATTACTTACCTTATTACATTTCAAATTGTATTCTAAATGTATGTCTTGTAATATATCAGCAATTTTGTCATAACTATGTGTTCCGCGATATCTGTGTGGTAATACCCGCGCGTTACCACTGTTGTGGTCCGAAACGTGGTTCGGGTGCGGCGACGGATATTACTTTACGTTTTATTTACCAAAATCAGAAGGTTTAAAGAAGGTAGGTAGTTAATAATATAACAACAGTTTCGACGTACGATCGGAGTGTATTATTTAGACACAAAAATAATTAATATACAAAAATGACATATATCAGTTAAACGGGTAAGTATAAAAAAAGGCGAGTCGTCGAGACGTGGGGCTGCTCGAGTTGAGAGGTCGAGAGCGAAAAAGCGAGTGACGAGAGTAGCACGCGACGGCGGCTTCGAGCGCGTAACGGCGAAGTCGCCGCGCGAGGCGGGAGAAAAAGTCGAGCGGTGGGTCGTCACGTGACCAAAGACGGTACGACATTTTATAATAATTTCACAGAGACAATAAATAAAACGAATACAATATAAATCACATGACGAATACAATGTAAAAAATGGTTATTCGAAAAAGGGCGCGCTAGCGTAAGTGGTGATAGCGCGTCGGAATCACCACATCTGCGACAAGCCAAACTCGATGATCGCCGTTGGAAATTATCGGCATCGATCCAATGTATTGTCTCGTGTCGTATCACCCGTATTGGATAATACGTGGTAAACCTACTATACGCCTCACCCTCGTATTCTCTAGCTAATGACACTCTCTAAAATTAATTAGAATGGCACTGTTAACTTGGAGGTACAATGGTGTGCGTTTGTCAATCCTAAGTTCTTTCCAATCTAGTAAAATGACTCAAAGATTACATATATCTTGGCACTATTCAGTTTAATAAAACCTCATTGACACATAGTAAGTATATCCCGGCGCTGCTCCTATTAAAGGTAAGAACTTAAGAATGACTTAAATAATTGTAACTCGGGTTTTCAAGTCGGAAACACTTTTATTATATTTAAATAACAATTAACAAACACAAAATAAAATATACTTGGCGAATTCAGATCGCCTAGCCCGTACTACGATCGACGTTTCACACGTACGACCACCTCTATTACATAAATGAAATAATATTTTGACGACTGTCTACAATATACGACAGTCCCCATTGTTTTTTGAAAAAAATGCCCTCATTTTTAATGATGTTTCTACATACAAATGTCTTATTACTACATTAAATACTAATCTACTTTTACACTATATTACTGTCTCGGCTTATTCACGTCGTTGACTATAAAATTATGCTTAAATGTTAATTTTAATCCTATTATTTTAATAATTTATTTTTTAACGCGTTGTGCAACCCGAATACATAAAAATAAAATTAAAATAAAATCTAATGACAATATTACTATTGCACCAAAATCGAAGTCAAAATTAAAAATATATATCACAAGCAATGATATACTAACACAGTGTAAAATAAATCCTACAGACCGCTTAGGCAGAGAAAAACATTTAATGCTAGAAACCCAGATAGTAGACTATTCTAACGAAGTAATCTTATACAATTATTCCAACGTATAAAGTAATATTCCAAAAGGAATGACAATAGCCACAATTCACGTATTAAACATGCAAAATAATTAACACGAATTACAACAAATTAAATTTAAAACAGACAAATCGATATTTCAACCGCCGTAATTATTTTAGGTATACTGTATAAAATGAATTCGAAATATGAATACAAAAAAAATCTCTACCTGTGGCAATATTATGTGAGGATCTAGAAACAATTAGAAACATATAATTCATAAATACATATTAATGATTTATAATTTTTTTTATAATATAAATATAAATTGAGTTGTATTTTATACTGTATTATAATGTATGAAATTTTTACTCAGAATATAGATACAAAAATTTATGTGAATACATATAAGGTTATAATAATTTATTGATTGGCTCTTTGTGGAAAATGTTTTCTTAGAGATTTTTCTCAGTTTGAAGTATAATATTTTTATTTCAACAAATAGCAGTAAATGATTGTTGTTCTTCTACGGCATTTTATTCTTCGATTCTGTGGTAGTTAATTCTTCTTCTCTTTTTGTATTTCATAAGGTAAGTTTTTATTATCTTGCTTGTTTTAGTTTTTCTTCTTATAATCTGTATATATATATATTTTTTTTATTTATATATTATATTCTCATATATTATTTTTTCAAACTTCTGTTTTGACTGCAGTATCTTCCTCGTGTCTTCGTATGAAAAGGTATTTGCTTATTATTTTTATAATTATTGGTTTAATGCTTATTGTCTACTTTGAAAATATTATATTAGCACTTTTTTTTTTTTACATTATTACTTATTAGTATTATTATTTATTTATTTAATTTAATTCTTCGTGGTATGGCTTTAGTCTATCTACGTGTATAGTATCCGTTGTTTCTTTTCCATTTAGTGTTAATGCAATTTTGTAATTTACGTCCGAAATTTTTTCTAATATTTCAAATGGGCCTCTGTATTTGTGCGCCAATTTTTTTGATTCTCCTTGTTTCTGGAATTTTATTTTTACTAGCACTTTTTGGCCGGGTTGGTATTCCACTTCCTTGTGGTTCTTGTCGTACTGTTTCTTTTGCTTAATTTGTTCTGCTTCTATTAATTTTGGTAATTCTTGCCTAATTTTTTGTAGTTGTATTATTTCTTCGATTCTATTATGGTCTGTTTCGGGTGGGATGATTTTGTTGTCTAGAGGTAGCGTTGCCTCCGTGCCGTACATTAGGTAGAATGGGGAGTAACCAAATCTTGTGTGTGGGTGTGTAATGTGTATTATATGCAAATATAATCATTTTATAATATAGTGCCCAATTTTTTTGGTTATTGTCGACGTAGTGTGTTAAGGCGTTGCATATAATTTTATTCATTAATTCGGTCATTCCATTGCTCTGGGGGTGGTAACTAGTCGAAAAAATTTGAGTTATTCCTAATTTTTCACATATGTTTTTTACTTCGGTATTTTTGAAATGTGTACCTCTGTCGCTGACGAAGTATTTTGGTGTACCGTAGGTAGTTATTATGTCAAATAAAAAATCGATGGTCGCTGCTGCGTCTGCGTTTGTAACAGCCTTTGCAAAAACCATTTTGGTCGCGTTGCAAGTAGCCACTATTAAATATTTTTTACCTTTTGACATTGGTAAAGGTCCTAAATAATCGAAACATAGTCTAGACATGGGTTTTGTGTCGGTTAACGGAATAGGTTGTAATAAACCTGGCTTTTTACCATTTTGGTTTTTTGAAAATTGACATGATGCACAAGTTTTTATGAATTTGTTTGTGTCTTGTATCATTGTCGGCCAGTAATATTTTTTCTTTAGTCTTGCTAATGTTTTGGTGATTCCGAAATGTGCTGATAGTGCCGACTCGTGGTAAGACTTTAGTACTATATTGACTAAATTTTTTGGTATTAATAACAAATTTTTGACTCCGTTCGGTGACCAATTTTTGGAAAATAAAATATCGTTTTCATTTAGGAATTGTCTAGACTTTCTTTTGTATTTTGAATTATTATTTTCTTTTATTGCTGATATGATGCCTTTGCAAAATTCGTCGTTTAATTGGTTTTCTTTAATTTTTTCTATATTTATTGTGTCAAAAGTTATTTCTTCTGTCTCTGTGGTTTCAAAAATATCTTTTACTTGTAACGTGTCTACTGGGTATCGTGATAAGCAGTCCGCCGCTGTGTTCCAAAGGCCGGGTCGGTGTTTAATTTCAATGTCGAATTCTAATAATTTGAAAATAAATTTTGTTATTCGGGACGATGGATTTTTCATTGTTTGGTAATATTGTAGACTAGAATGGTCGCTAAATACTATTACTTTTAACTATAGAACAAATATTCTTTAAAATAGTTCACTGCAAAAACAACTGCTGACATTTCTAATTCAGTGGTAGTGAAGTTCCTTTCACCCCCTTTTAATTTCCTCGAAGCGAAAGCTATAGGGTGTCGTTTCCCATCTTTGTCGTTTTGTTCTAAAATTCCCGAGAGTCCTTCTAGTGATGCCTCCGTGGTTACAAAAACTTGGTGTTCGTCCTCAAAATGAGCTAGTACGGGGGCCGTTATTATGGCATTTTTTAATATATTAAATGCATTATCTTGAGAGCTGTCCCAATGAAATTTATTTTCCTTTTTTGTTAGATCGGTGAGTGGAGTAGCAATTTTCGCAAAATGTTTAATATATTTCCTGTAATAACTAGTTAGTCCTATAAAAGCTCTTACGTCTTTAATTTTGGTTGGTATTGGAAAATGTTTTATCGCCTTTATATTTTTCTCCAACGGTGTTAGTCCTTTATTTGATACTTTATGCCCTAATAATTCTATTTCGGTACCTAATAGTACTCATTTGCTAGTTTTTAATTTTAATCCGGCTTCGTCTAGTCTTTTAAATATTTCTTCTAGTCTGCTTCTTCAAAGTCGTTTCCGTAACAACATATATCGTCCAAGTATGCTATCATTGTTCTATATAAAAAATCACTAAATAAATTGTTGATAA